CTTTCAGGTATGAAGTATGAATTACATTGCAAAACATTACAGTTATTTAGTTTAGTTCGACTTTGTAAAAGTGATCAGACTGGATATCAACGTATTAGTTACCTATTAGTGAGACAATAATTAAGCATCCATATGCATTCCTGATTGAAATGCAGGGTAATTTATTTATCTTGGACACATAAACATTGGTACAAGGGGGCACCAAATAGATATGCGCCACACAATAACAATGAGGCCAGTAGTAGTTATCATTGATTTGTGTGAGGGCTGGGATACTGCCCGGGTGCCCAAACCGAAGATGGTTTTCTGAGGGGGTCACATCCGGAGCCCTTGACCTAAAGGTCTCACCCACAAAGCAGTGGAGTAACTTTAGGAGATGAAGTCCCATAGTAGCCGGTGACAACAGTAGGTTCATACACCATTTGTTCCTTCAGGACCCTGGAGCCCATGTCCACCATTGGTTTGGAATCAGGGCTATCCAACCCCCTAGGTGGATCCTCCGTGTCCATTAACCCGGCTAAAGGGCCAAATATTCGCTTTTTGTTTTCTTGATTTCGTGAAAAACAGCCCCCCTCCCTACGAGAAGTCAGTAAGTAGGACTTCCCTGGTAGTGGCTGTTTACACGTGGCCATGTGGGAGCATTTCGAGAAGGAGAACAGACTATTTTTTTATCCAAAATTACTTGTCTTCTCACACTTTCTCGTATCATAGAATGTAATGAAGCTAGAAGAGAAAAAAAGGTCAGACTATAGTTTTTAGCTCCGTATTCTTTAAAATTTCTTACAACATAGAAATAATTCTTTACAGAAAATAATTTTAACAAGATTTTAGCCAATTGTAAAACGCAGTAAAGCTGAAAAACTGGAAAAATGTTTTGCTTTCTGCCTGAAATAAATTACGTAAAGTACATATATTGAAGAGATTATTTTGAGTAAATTAACCAAAATAAATAACGATTATGTATCTATGAGATTCAATACAGAAGAACAGCATAATATCGTATTGATGTTTGATGATACGACATTTTAAAACATATGTGTAATTAGAGAAAAAGGATAACTCCATATAAACATAATAAAACAAGTTCCAAGGAGTAACCATATAAAATTTCAGTAATCAATTTTTTTTAAAACTGGAAAAAATTGCAGGTAAAACTATCGAAGTAATTATGAACAGACTGTCCCCACATGGCATACAAACAGTAAATCACCGACTAAGTTGGGCCATTAACCATACATATATAGTCAGGTCTTTTCATACACTTAGATTTGCTGGTAGCCACCACTGACACCATTTCCACTGATATTCCGATTACGTCGACTTGTAATAATGAATGCGATCAGAGCAACGATAATCATTACTGCTAACGATATACCAATGACAATTGGAACAACTCTGTCTAAATGATAATCGAGTGAGCATTGAACCACTAATTTAAAGAAAATTTTCGAAAAGAAAAACATTTAGTGGTTAGTTGAGAGAAAAATAAGCGAAAATAAAAGCATAAATGATCCGCTACTTTGTAGTGCCGCGATTCTTTAATCGTTTACTTAGATAACCGTTATAATTCTAATCTTAAAGGTGCGTAAAATCAGAAGACAAAGGATAGCAGCAACTACAGTTTATTGTCGAACAACTCAGGTTCAAAAGCTAACACCTGAGCGAATATGAACGAGCGAGTGAGCGGCAAGCGAGAGAGCGAGGCGAAAGATGATGCGTATTGGAGATGGCTGGGAAACCAACTCGAGAACGAAGCGAAGGATAATGCGTACTGGAGATGGCTGGGAAGCCAACTCGATTTAAGCAAGCGTTAATCAACATTTATAGTCGGACAAAAATGAGTGACAGTCATACGATGAATAAGATACGAAGGGTACACATATATGCTCATATAAAAGTATAGTCAAGGTTAATAAGCAAATGATTAACAAGATCAAAATATGACTCAATGGATAAGCGAATTGGCTAGGCCAGCAACTAGAATAAAGTATATGGGCTTAACACATAAACTGATACTACAGCTTAAAACTTAAATAAGTTAAAATAATGAAACCAGATGAAGTTCCGTGTACCGTATTATGATACAACGATAGTATGATGTACAAAAATGGTTACTAAATTTGTTATAATTGATGAGAATTATGTGATTTTTTATTGTGCGATCGATTGTCTGGATTGATGTGAATGGTGGCCGTGATGACGATTTACGCAAAAGTAAACAACCGATCCAGTTTCAAAATGAACAGATACCAAACGACAAAATAACTGGTCGGCAGAGTTATAAAATAAAACATTAATGGGCAAGATGGTTGACACAAAAATGAACGTGACTAAATATCCCTTTAAACAAAAATCACTGACAGAAATGAATTTTGTAAGTCATTTATTGAGCTATGAAACTTAGATTTATCAGACTACTTACCGTTCCGCCTACAAAGTGACGTCTATCATTGTGTTTTGTCCACACATTGACATACATTGCGCAGAAATGTCAGAAAAGGTCAATACTTGCGACTTCAGAATAAATTGCTACCAAAATGTCATGGGAGATTTTTTTATACTAACTGAACTAGTCTCGATTATCTGGACGAAGTGAACCTGTAACCTTTAAACCATAGACTCATTAGCTTATTGTTGTTTACTTATGACGGGTCATGGATTTGTGCGTTTATACACATGTCGAAATTGTAACATAAGCACTGGAATTTATTGGGTGATTAAATTTACTACTTATATGACCGACATTTTCCAACTACTCCTTTTATCCTTGCATCACTATTTTAAGGCCCATTCTGAAAGAACATAAAATAAAAACTTTGTGCTGCAAATAGGAAACTGATGATCGTTTTCCCGAAATACATTCTATTAGATATTTTTGTCTTTACCATTCATTAGCTAGCCCCTCCAGCAGTTACCCGTGGTCAGCATTGACCTTGACCGAAAGGCTATACTTGACTTTGTTTGAAAAGAATTATCACAGCCTTGGACTTTGAAGACCATATCTTACAAGAACATTTATTTACTTAAAGTTATTTAGGGGCTTATGAATCATTGTCATCTGAGGTAAAGTACTAGTTCCGTGAGGACATATGAACAAGGAATAACCATGATGATGCAATCGAATATAATACTGGATTGCGTAATATGGATAATAACAACAGACTTAATAAGTTAGTAACGAATTATAATGTGAATGCAATAAGATGAGTAGTGTTTTTTGTTACAATAATTAAAGTTAATAAAGGTGCAAAATATATGACATGATATCATGAACACTTATGAATAAAATCATGAGAATATGAGATGTTGATTCCCTGTTCACGAGCATGTGTGGCGCATATGTACCTGGTGCCCTTTTGTACCAACATATATGTGTTTAAATAATAATAATAATAATAATAATAATAATAATAATAATGTTCACGAGCATATAACTAACTGAAACCATATGCTATATATATGAGCATATTGATTCTAACAACATAGATCTAGGTCTGTCGACTGACTTGTTTTATGGCAAAACAACCAACTTAGTTCGATTATCAATCGATTTAATCTATACGTAAGATACATAGACGACACATTTATCATTTGTGACGGTAATATTGAATCAGCAAATATTTTACACTGCTTCAACATATGCCACCCTTCCATAGACTTCACATTAGGAAATGAGCTAAATCAGTCAATCTATTGTTTCGATGTGCGTTTGACGAGGAGTGATAGCTCCTTAAAAAGATCTACTTTTAGGAAACAAACATGGAATGGCTAGCTGACCAACTTCTATAGCTGGATTCCTTCAAGCAGAAAGAGGAATCTTAATCACTCTTTATGTTACCGAATGCATTGGATATGTAGTACAGAATGCATTGACGAACTAGCATTCCTCAGGAAAACTGGCGGAAAACGGCTATCCAAGTCGCTTCATAAAGAAAAATATGAAAACATGTCATGACAAGTAGTTTGCTTTTTCCGTTTCAAAGAAACACCTTAAAATAAATTTGGAATTCAAAGGAGACTGGAAATTTGATCTAATCAAAAAGAACGTTTTATGTGGCAAAATTGTGAATAACGTTCACTCGTGAGAACTTAATTTAGGTATTCGTAAAGGATAAGTCTCCCCATTCGGTCACCTTTATGTCGGTCAGTCACAACGTAGAACTTCGTACGTACGTACATCAGTCCGAGTTGCCATACCACATTAGCAGTCAGTCAGTCAGCTACAACGTAGGACCAGCACGGAGATTTAAGTCCCATAGTAATCAGAAAGATTAGAGTTTGAAGATGTTCAGTGAAATAAATTTGGAAAGAGAAAAAAGATAGAGACATGAAGAACTCAGAAGATTAGAATTTGGTAGAACACAAAGAGTGGATGCACCTTCGCCATTGCAAACGATTTTGAGCCATATCTTTCAAGGTCTCTAACCATCAATTGCTATCATCTCGCGAGTCCCAACCAGGTAGTCTACACCTACCAACATGATTCAGTCCAATTGTCAGCGACTTCATGGATTTGTGCCACGTTTTGGTCTGGCCGTCCATAGCTTTCTTCCAACCTACTCCTACACCATAAATCATTGCACGTCGGGGCAGTCAGTGGTTGAGCATATGTAACACGTGTCCCAGCCATCTCAACTGATGAAGTTTCACTACTTCGTAAATCGATTTGCCATCCTTACCTAGTACCTGTTTCCTAACAACTACAATACTTACTCGGTGGTCCCAGGATATACGAGGAATGCTTCGAAGACACCTATGATCGAATACTAGTAGCCTACGAATATCCTCTACTCTTATCGGCCATGTTTCACTGCCATAAAGTAGGACGGAAAGAACTGCTGCGCTGTAAACCCGTCCTTTGGTTGCTAGACGGATATATCGCTCACGCCATAAATGACGCAAGTTGGTGATAGTTAGTCGAGCCTTCTGTATCCGCGCTGAGATTTCGTCACACACCAGACCACAAGGGATGATGAGACTTTCAAGATAAGTGAAGCGGTCAACACGCTCAACTACTTCACTCCTTATCAGTCACCTTTATGTGCATCTACCAGGTCATCTGCTCTTGTGAAGCAAGGTATATATATATGGCCTGATAATAAAAGTCACTGAAAAGAGATCCTTTAGCTAGACTTTGTGTTTTTAATGTTTAAATGAGAATTGTGTCAACTTGAGGTTAAGGCAGGACTATGTTCGAAGCCCTTAACAGGGATGACTGATTAAATGACCAGGTTGTGAAACTGCACCAAATTCAGTAACTGAATTATACGTTGTACCGGTCAAGTGATCATTTTCCCTATATGATAATGATTGGGGTTGGGATCAGACTGCATAAAGATAAGGGTGGTTAGTGATAAGTCTTTCATTAGTGGTAGATTTTCACGAAATAACAGAGGAATTCCCACTTTATGACTTTGAAATCAGATGAAAGACCTGTAAACGGTACTTTTGAAACTTTTGAAATTCAGCGAACGCAATGATGAACCTCTGTTAAGCAGCTGCATTTAACAGCGCCAAAAAAACAGATTCTGTAGTAGTCTGCCCGTTAAATGTTCATCCAAGAAGTAAGTCAACCTACCAAAGGTTTTCTACTCGAAACCCGTTAGTCGGGTAAAAGCCTAAGATGAACTATCATATGGAATGACTGTACTAAGCAGTACTCATCAGGACTGTCGCGATTCCTTTGAAAAAACCCTGAAACACTAACAATAACTTTTTTTTAAGGCGAAATATAGTTGAAACGCCATCAATCAGCCCTCACTAATGTACAGTTTAGAAGTGGTACAGTTGATGAAGACAGTCATCAAAAAGCATACTGGATTACTCCCAGAGTTTGCTGTAATAAAAAACAGGAAGTATTAGGGAATCTTCTCAAGCATGAACGGAAACCTAAAACATTCAACAGACCAAAAGAAATCACACACGCTTAGTCTTCAACAAACTATCATTAAGCTTGAATAAAAGAAGGAAAATTGTAATATTGAACTGTCGGTATTGTTACCTTGTCTACAAAACCGAAGTAGATACTGCTAGTTTATATACCATATAAATCATGCTGCATATAAGTTCATTTAACAACAAAAACAACTCAGATTCGGTGTTTAAAAACAGCGATAATAAACTACAAGGGTAGTGAATCAAATCACCGCCGAACGATCATTATTTGCAAACGACAGACGGTATACAGCTAATAAATCTTTACATCAACAAACTTATATAATGTTAAGGAAAACTTACTGATACCATTAAATTCAGGCTCCAATCCATGTCTGAATGCTTGAACTTTTAACTGAGAGAAAGTTAGGTTAACAGTTACAGGATTTGGTGCGAAATGATTTAAAACTAAATTCTGTTCAGCTTGACAAGAATAGTATGAACCGATTGCAGCGGAAAATAGTGAATGGTTATTTGATGCATATCTTGAACCTAGATATAAAAACAGAATAAAAAGTTGTTAAGTTAGATTGTCAAATGTTTAAAGAGAAGTAACACGTATAAAAATTTATTGCTGAAAACTTCTTTTAAAAACTAATGACAGGAACACCGAACAGTAAGGTCATGTCAAATATTGAGTCTTTAGGGCTGGTACACCAGCTAATACACGGATTAATTTACAGCAATTAAAATAACTAACTCTAAGAATAAGAATGAAAAATATGAATTACCAACCCGGCAAATCAAGCAGTTCATAAACGAAGCTAATTCCACTGAGGTTGTAACTATTTTCAGACTTCGCGAATCGAAATGTAAGGTTCCAAGTACTGTTTGACTGATCTGGTTTCCAAGATAAGTTCAAACCTTCTATCTCGTTTCCCAAAACACCTGAAACTTGGAATTTCCCTTGAGTTGCGGAATCGATTGAAACTATAACAGGTGCTTTCTGAACCTACATACACCGAAGTCAGATGTAGGTAATGCAGTAAGGACGTAAAGAAAAATATGAAGTTAACTGAAATGTTTTATAGTTTCACAAGCAAATTTACAAACTATTATTATTATTATTAATGGCTTTATTCAATATTATAATCTGGTACAATATAGAATTATCAGCACGAGTTATTTCAACAAGTTTTTTTTACCAAAAAAGAAACAAAACAAACAAAAAAAACAGAAATAAAAAAAGGTTTAGGAAAATCTGAGTTTATACAAATTATCCAATTTGATACATGCTTAAGAATACAGGTTATTTACTAGGTCAACTCTAACAGCCTGTTCGTCACAAAGTAAATTCGCAAGGTAAGGTATTACAGAACTTTTATAGATTTGCTTGCGTGCATGGATTTTAATGTATTTACGTCTCATTCTACCAGAAGATATACAAGGAGAAAGATATGAATGAAGCGGATGGTTAGTATCTGATAAGATAACACCTGCCAAGAGTTTGGAAGACTTAAGATGTCTATCCACAAGCATATTAACAATGACTTCAAAAGATTCGCCACATACCTTGCAAACTGCCTTCAGCACTCTACGCAAAATAGAAGACGAATGGTTGCACACAAAAACTTTCACTTTGTAATGGATTATTAAGATAACTACTAACGTTTTGATATTAAATAGATGTAGAGTATAATGGTTTAAGTGGTCGATCGTCAATTATTTTAGTGACGGAAACTGACGGAACTTCATAAAAAACAATATTTTAAGTAATCTTGTTATGGTTGTTTTCCAGTCTTGAATATGAACTTGTGAAGGATCATTGGACTGCAATAATTTATCAATGGTTATACCTTCAGCGGTCTCGGATAGAGACTGCTATTCCACAAATAAGATCAACATACATTTTGTTCGTAAATTGTTTTGTTAGTCATCAAAGCTTAGAACACTTCTCTGCTACTGTGTATACTTCTACCTTGTCACTTGGTCTAATGCATGTCCTCCAACTTTTTCCAAAAGACTATAACTTATGGACAAACCAACGAAATTAAAGATAGCAAGTCTCAATCATGTACTTGGATAGTATTTTGGCATGATAGCTGACGTCAGTTCGTGGTGAAAACCCTGAGTTCAATTTCTAACCTTAAATTCTAACTTTATCTTAATTTTAATTCTACAAACTAACTTATAACACTCCTTTGACCCTGGTAAGTAGGTGAACTGTCTCCAGGTTACTACCGTCGCTCAAAAGTCTGCCATAAATTACAGGCCTACCAGTTTTGCAAATCAAATGTATGGAAACGAAATCAGATACTAACCTTTGTGTAAGCCAAAGTAATATTTATATAGCCTTGTAACAGTATGCTTGAATCATTTGAGCCAATTCGAAAAGTAGCAGGTGATGTGACCGGATCCACACTGTAACATACGATTTGATCCAGACCTATGATCTCAAAGTATTATGAAGTAATCATTACATGCAACAATTAACGCCGAGAGAGCTACAAACATGGCTGCGATAGGATATCCGGATAGGTTGGGAAGTTTCCAGTCGCAAACAGGTTTGTGTCCAGCCTTCAGGAATACTGTTGTTAGTAATGGATGGACAGAGTATGGATGAACGAGAGTAAACTTGGTGATGGTAATTCCCTTAGCCTAGTACCTAGAAAAATGATGGGGGGAAAGTCAATAAGGTCCATATTTGTTTAAAGCATACAACAGAGATCCACTTACTATTAAAAATCGTAGCAGTAAACAGTGAACAAGTGCTAAGATAAAGTTTGAATAAGCATACCTGTGGCGTCCTTGAAGTCACAAATCCACAAATCGAAATTGAGTAAGCCGCAGAAACGTATCTGTTCCGTTTATTTACTCTCTAATTTCAACCTTATTCAATCAGAAACGGCGAATTTATGATGCCTTGTTACACCTGATTATGTATAAAAACTAAAAAACATTTACTTCAAAAATATTTCAATGTCCACTTCTCTGGGAAAACTTGTAGTTGCTCTAACATTGAATAACTCCCCCAAAATAAGTAGTTCTGTATGTCTTTATAATTGATGATGATTCCATTTTATTTGCTGGACACACCTACAGAAAAATAAATTATCGAAAAGTATCCTGAAACCGTTTGTGTCAGATAACGTAGCCGCGTAGAAACAACGCTTTATTTATGATAGTGATTTGTCAACTGTTAGTTTTAGTCTCACCACTTATATCAATCATATTACTTGATCGTTAAGTTCTACCAACGCTATGTGAAGACGTTAAGAAACTACAAGGAGTGATTAATTTTAGTATCAATTAGGGATCAACTCGCGGGAAAGTTGACATTGCTGCTTCAGATCCCGGGTACTTTTATAGTCACCAACTTATGTAATCTGTGTTGATGATCGAGATCAACTTGAATCGGACGAGAATGGAGTGACCTCCTAACTTACATTGAAATTATATCTCTAGGTTAATACTTAGCCTGCGTTGTGCTATCGTGACAACCAAGGGAACCGACCTCCTAAGTAACTAGCTAGAAAAAATACTCTTAATAGGCAATGTGATACACTATTATTATTGGGTTACAGAGATACAAAGAAGGAACCACCGATGTATTATTTTGTCCTTGATATGCTACTGATTGTTGCCCGTTAGTTGTCCCTGCTCTTCATGGGGATCGACGAACTGTATAGAAATCGTTGATCTACATGATGGGTGACTTGGCTGGGGCCTAGTGAGATTTCGCGGGTCATAAGCCTTTCGACCGTTCAGAATATGTCCATAGTTGATTATTCGGAAATGTCGCTAGTTTCAAATGGTTTGTATAACATTAACGAATTCGAGTTCACTGATCACATTACGAACCATGAAGCAGAAGTATTCATTCACCTGACTCTGAGGTTAAAGTGTGCTGCAGAAGTTTTGTTTTGAACACCCATATTATTTACAAATGTGCTATAGTTGGGTGATGGTATATGAATTCTGTGATCCTGTTGTTGTCTATGTTTTCAACTATGTTGGATGTTTATGACTACTGTGATAACCGAATAAATAAATTCAAACTCATACATCAACAACGATTAGAATGGGCTTTCTGGAATGACTGTCAAATATGAATAGCATAAAATAAAATGATATTCCCGGTCCCAAGACCGGACAAAGGAGGAGGGTTGGGCATGGGGTTAGCGACCCCATCCCGCAGATAACTAACTCGCCAAAAACGCTAACCAGAAAAAAATTTTCAAACCATTTAAACTCTGTCTAGGGGGGTTCAAGGGAGAATTATGACGCCTCATGATGAAAGCCGAGTTCCTTCTGAAGTCATGAAGCCGATGCACCTTCTAACAACCAGAGCAACAATTTTTATAGGTACATGGGACGTCCAGACAATATGGGAGACTGGAAGAGTCTTCAAAATTGCTGCGGAAATTAGGAAATACAACATGGAATGCTTGGAATCACTGAAATATATTGGATACAAGTTGGACAACAACGAGTATCTTCAGTAGAGCTTCTGTTATACTCCGGACACGAATAAGAAAATGCCCCACATACACAAGGAGTTGCATTGGTGCTGTCCAAACAAGTACAAACAAGCAAGTGAAGAGGAGCATCCGAACCGACGAACGCAAATATGTGCAAGAATCCGCAATGACGGTGGAAAAGGCTGCAAGAGAAGAAAACATGGGACAATTATATGATGCAACAAAGAAACTCGCTGGAAATTACCATGAACCAGAACGGCCAGTGAAAAGCAAGGAAGGCAAAGGAATCAACAACATAGAAGAACAAAAAAACAGGTGGGTAGGACATTCCAACGAACTATTAAACTGACCAGCTCCACTGAATCCACCTAACATCGAAATAGCACCCACAGACTTCCCAATCGATGTTGGCCCACCAACAATTGAAGAGATCAGCATGGCCATCAGAGAAATCAAGAGCGGCAAAGCGGCAGGCCCAAACAACATTCCAGCAAATAAACTGAAAGCAGATGTATCAGCAACTGCCAAGATACTCCACATCCTCTTCAGTAAGATTTGAGATGAAGAACAAGTACCAACAGTCTGGAAAGAAGGATTTCTGACCAAGATACCAAAGAAAGGCGATCTCAGCAAGTGTGATAACTACAGGAACTTTGTCAATGGCCTTACTGAAGTAAATGTAGACTATGCCTTTACGTAACTTTTGACATTCAAAGACTCACCGACTTTCACGGGGCACCAATGAGTTAGTGAGACATGGATAAACTGTTCCAAACCCATGGAGCTTTGCAGAGATAGTCCGGTTCATTAGACCAAATACATGGGGTTCTTTAATGGTCGTAGTGTCCGGTGCGAATGTGGGTCATATGAACTGAAGGGTGTGGCATCTCCATGGTATTTTCATTGATAAAGTAATTTGAGAACACCTGAGCTTTACCACAGTCTTCTCCTACCAATGTTTCGTACTACTGTCTTTCCGTATTACTGAGATGTCGCCTCTTCTCTTAACCCTTTGATTTATGTCTGAGTGGACCTACGGAGGGTCGAGGCATAAATGTTTCGAGTTCCCAGATGTTAAGATTTTGTCTCATCAGTATTCAGTAACATAAATCTCTCGCGCACTCCCTTCCTTTTACGTGGAGAAGTGAGCGCCTCCTTACTGAACTATTATGGGGAGTTTCTTCGACTCCTTGCTGTAGTCCAAGGGATGTACGGTGAAGTAAATTTATGTGCGAGTTTCGGCATACCTCCCAAATCGTTGTAACAGGGAATTATGGTTTTCATAGTCCCGCCTACATAGGATGTTGTGTGTACATTATCTTGTACATTTACTTTACAGACGTTTGGTCTTGATTGTTGACAATGATATGGAAATTAGAGATTAGAACTGTATGGTCATTTTTACCTAAGAGTAACACATAATGGAGGTTTGCGATGTCATCATTATGATGGGTTAGTATGAGATCTAGCAAAGGTGATTTGGAGTCCGGGTTGTGCCTAGTAGCTTCTTTCATATGTTTTACTGGGACACATTAGATAACTGGGTTAAATAGTTTCTGTTCGAATGAATTTTCCGAAAACTCAATCCTCAGATTCTTCCAGTATAGCGTAGGTGGATTGAAGTGCCTTAATATTAAAAATCGACCGCTTGATCCCCAAATGTTGAGACTGTCTAGCAAGACCTCATTCACCCCACAGTTTGGGCGGTGGCAGACCATGCCAATAAGCAGCTTTCGTCTTTTATTAAAAGACGGCAACTGACTAGCTTGCTCGTTTTTGGGATATATTATGGATAACGGTAAAGCGGATATTATTTCAAACGGGTAGAGCAAATCCTCCCTTATGCCTCTGGGTTCTGTCGGTTCTTACTAAATGAAAATTTTGGAATCCAGTTCAAGACTGCATCAGCCAGCTTTCCGTATCGGCGATTACATTGGGCTTGGTAGAGTCTATCTGTATATCTAGCTCCAATCACTTGTTTGTCAAGCTTTGAGTATTTGTGTAACAGTTCCGAAGGCAATTTAAATGGTTTCGTGATACGCTCAGAGTGGTTTTGGTACCATTCTCTACCAAAGACCCATCGCCTGAAAATTCGAAATTCCATGGTCCTTCTCGCCAGCATCTAACCTTAGTTTTAGCCCTCCTTCAGCTTTTCGTCTTTTTGCACGATCCGAGAGCAGCAAGTATTCAGGAACATCAACTTCTAACCCCCTAACATTCTGTCCGTTCTGTAGTACTAAGTTCCTTCCATTTGGATATTTAATTATCACTTTTAGCAGCCCAGTTTGATTCTGTTTCAAGCCTTTTTGTCTACTCGGTTCAAAAACCTTCGGCAAAATGACTTCAGAGATGTCTTGGGGCGATAGGTGGTTGAGTAGATATTTTATCAACTCAATCTCATGCTCGCAATGAGTTCTGGATTCTGAGCTTCTACTCTCCTTGACCCTATGAAAGACGAACAGCCTTTCATTACGATCAGCATTTGATTTCTGAACTACTGTCTGGGTAGACTGTCTTTTCTTCAACGACACAAAATCGTCTTTTATTCTTGTTTTGTACCCCTTTGTCAGTTTCCAGTGGAGTAGCAGTTACAGTAGCGTTACACACACTATGGGATTGCAGTGGTCGGTACTCGATATAATCCTTAAACTTCATAAACATTTTTTCCTGATAAACGCTACTAGATAATGTCCCCAACGGTGTATAAATCAGAAGACGAGTACGAAGTATTGATCTCGTTTATCATTGTGCGGTGCACAGACCACCAAAATCACAGGTACGATAATCAAGAATGAAAGGCTAACGCCGAAAAGCAAGCGAGCGAATGATTGTGCGAGTTAGCGAGTCAATGAACAAGATTAAAATGTACACATATATACATAGGGAGGTGATTATTCATCGAATCAATTAGGCGACTAACATTAAAGCTAACAGAATGAATATGTGCGTAGGCTGTAAGCGATCCACAAGCAGATATATTCATACAAGCCCAACAATAATAAAAGTACAATGGTATAGGTAAGTTGTTATTGTACAAATGACTGTCCGATAAATAGGTTAACAAAAGGGCTTGACCAAATGAAATGTGAACAAACTAAATTGCCCGTGTGCTGCTATAAAATCCTGGGTGATTGTTAATGGCTTGGGTAATCAGTTCGTTATTTTCCCTGCTATGAAAAGCCTCAGCTTAACCACTAGGTTTTCTAGCCGTTGCTTGCCTGATGCCATTGAGAGGGAGGGAAAGAGAAGAAACCTGCTTTCTTAGGTTTTTATTTCTAACAGACCTCTCTGACGTTGGTCCTTCTTCCTATTTTTCATGTGATTCACTGGACTTTGTGATTTTTTATGATGGCTCAACACCATTTGTTTACCAACAGAGTGATTAACATTTGATCCACCTCGATTACACTTGCTAATATTCCTTTTAGCAATGTTGACCATGGCTTCCGATAGCATTGCTGACACAACCACTTTTACTAAACCCTCTGAAAGCCACAAGAGTTAGATTCATGCAATCTCCGTGATATCATCATTTGCACTCATCTCAATGTATGCCACTTTCAACAGAGTATCGGAAGCTCAGTCATTTACATTGAAGATACCACAGGTATTGTAGTTTCACAACACTACCAGTAGCACCTATAATCGAATCGCGCCCACCCAGTAAAATCGAAAGTCAGAAGCGAGGACGTTGGAAAATATATTTGATGGATTATCAATATATCGAGAAGTGACTGGTCTAATCTGGCTAGTGATCGTGGGATATGTTTCGCACGCCGTTCTGAAACGTGATCTGGTGCGGATGCATGACCGAGCGCCTTCAGCTAAATGAGTCCATTAAAACTAATGTGGTAAACATCTGATGTCGAACACTTATAGAGCTATTGATTTTGGGGATTTATTTACCGCTACAACACCATTCTTTAGCACTAATCAGTCGTCAATCGGAAGTTGTCAAATAAATTAGACACAGAAATACGTGGAGACGGAATCTGATAACCAAAATAAGTGGAACCGTAAACGGTGGATTCAAAAGTGCTACAAATAAAAATCCAATGTACTCATAAAAGTACAGCCGATAAATCACATTCAGAAAACCAACATTCTTGGTGTTACTCTAGCTGAAATAAATTCAGTTAAAGCAAAGACAGTAGTATTGATGCGTAATAAACAATTAAAACTGTAAAATCAACCCAGCGAGGAAAAACACTACTGTCCATTTTAAATAGTGCACCTTTTACACCACGTTATGGTTAGAAATCATTTGGTGTATGCATTCGGAAGAAGGTTGAGTGAACTGAGAAACCGAATTATTAGCATTAACTTGGGATTTCCAACCATGCGCTTTTCCCACTGCTGTTAATTTCCTCATAACGATACTTTTTCGTAAGTATAGTCAATATGAACTGTGATGGCAGGTCAGAGTGTTTTGCGTAACAATAAAGCCTTTTGACACTTAATCTATAGCTGGTTACAGTGAATCTGTTTGGTATCTTGATCTACACCTTGTTAGTTACAGCGCAAATTTGGGTTTTGCCGCGCATTTCAGGATTTTGCGCGAGGTTGGGCACGCTAATTGAAGTCAAAAGTGCTAGGGTTCTGTCGTTGGGTCACAAATGTCTGATTTCGCTGCATTTCAAACTTTGTTGTTGCAACTTCAAAGCTCGGATAACGAATCTCGTACACGTTCGGAGGTGAATCATATTATTGCTCCTATTGTTGTTTCAGACCGCGTACGATGCCATTACACCGACAACTCGATTCACTCTTCTCCTCCAAGTGTTAAACGACAAAAGCGTAATCTCCCAGGTTAGTTCCAATTATGTTATATTTTGGCGTCTGTAGTTAAATGTCTGTTACTAGGCTATACTTAATCATGGGTGTCAAAATCCCTGTTTGTGTACCTCTGCTTTGCCCGAGTATTTATCGCCTGTTAGTTTTTCTCAGATGAGAGAAGCGATGACTGCTTTTTGGATGTTACTAACGTTTTTATGTCTCATGTCCACAATTACCTTTCACAGTTCATGCCTATCTTGTTCTCTGTGCATTGCAAGGTCGTAATACTCCTAAACTGCTTCCTTTCGACTACCCCATATTAACTGACATTTAATTTTATCCGCCAAATCCAATGTGCTTGATAGCGACCTCTGCAATGACGTTTAGATCTATGTTGTATTGAGATATGGACAGACACCTGCTGTACGTGAACTTTTCTAGAACGTAGCCGGGGATGATTTGGTATCGGTATCACTTAAGCAAATTTTCGCAGACATTGGTGTTGCTATACTTGGTTAATTGTAGCGAAGTTTGTAACGTGATGCTGTACATTTGATTACTTGTAACCAGACTTACTATAAAATGACGTCTAGGTTATCACAATGTTCACAAGGTTCTACTTATGACTGACAAGGTATTACCATAGTCATGGTTAAAATAACTCTGGATGATAAATATAGGTTGCATTTTTGTGAGCTGTGATGAGAATAATCAAACATATCCGATCTCGCCCCGACTTGAAAAAACAATGGAGGGAGTTATTGTATTTCCTTTCTTTCAATGTTATTTGTTGACTAGGTTTTGCGTTGATGATACTTTTAACCTTTTAATTGAGCTCTTAATACTGCCTAATCCAGACAGTAGCATCCAAACTCACAAACGAGCTCAACATAATCCCTTCTGACTGGTCTCTATTTCTGGTAATGCCAGTTTGTAAGAAAGAACGTAAGTCCTTTTGTGGTAACTGCAGCGAAATCAGTCCGACTGATATGGTGTCCAAAATACCAGACTTTTTATAACCACTTGACACAGCTAAGATTCGTGAAAAGCAATCCTAGGTAAACCAAGCTGATTTTGAACTTGAACTTGGATATGTTAACCAAATGTTTTAGAAAGACATACCAACACCTGACCATAGTTGTATTTCTTGACCCTAAGGCAACGCTTGAATAAGCTGATCATCAGGTTGTGTCAGTATCAATAAAGTACGTCGACCTTGCAAAGGTTTTCTTGTACACTGTTTATCGAATCAGCTTTTGAAGACCTATCACCACGGTTGTCGATCTTCAAATAATGTTCGTCATAGATGTCCTGGAAATAACAGCTAAATTCAGGGGCTAGTCTATCAGGAGGTCCACTTATCGACTGAGAATACACAGGTGACACCTCTGTCTAATGATGTTAACAAAACAAAGTTTCAATGCTAGCGTGTTCAGAATACGTTCCTCTCCTTCAGGACTCTCTGAATTAATTATGAATTGGGTGGTTGAGTGCGTCGACCATTTCATTTGTTTTGGAAGTTAAGTCAGTCCTATTGAGAGGGCGTCTGACATAAGCTTGATCTTTATCTGCTAACTTGCATTTCTTATGGCGTAGTTTTTATTTATTTATTTAAACACATAAATATTGGTACAATGAAGCACCAGATAAATATGCGCCTCACAAATCTCATTCGATTTGTGTGAGGGCTGTGATACTGCCCAGGTGCCCAGACTGAAGCAGGTGGTTTTCTTAGGGGGCCACACCCGGAGCCTTTGACCTGAATGTCTGATCCACAAGGCAGTGGAGCATCGTGAGGAGATGCAGTCCCATGGTAGCCGGTGACCAACAATTGGTTTATACGCCATTTGTTCCCTCAGGATACTGGAGCCCATGTGCATCATTGGTTTGGAATCAGGATTTTCCAACTCCCCTAGGTGGACCCTGCATGTCCACCAACCCGGTTAAAGCGCCAGACATTCGCTTTTCGTCCTCTCAATTTCGTGAACAACACCCGTGGCAGGAGAAGGCAGTGAGTAGGACTTACCTGGCAGAGGCTATATATTCGCTGGCCATATGAGAGTATTTCGAGAGGGAGGTGACTCTCCCCACTTTCGGCCGTACCAGGGCATTTGGGGGCACAGACGAGATGGCGTAAACGAGATGTTCGTCTGCTAATTAAGTGACATGTATGCTGCACAGAAATCTATTTCACGTTATGAATGCAGAACACGGTCTGTGAAAGTAAAAGACATCAGTACGGAACAGGTTTTTGATTATGAATATCTTCGAAGCATTTCTTACTTTTTATGAAGCGACTAAGTGAGCAATACTGATGTCAAACATTGAATACTTGGGAAAGGTGGAAAGTTGGTTGATGAGGTTGTGATTCTTCATCGTCTACAGTAATTATGAAATGTTACCTATGTCCAACCATCACCAACCTCGATGGGCAATGTTTTCTAATATGAGAGTAAGTTTGAAGAAAGTTAGACCTGTGGGTAGATGCACACTGTCTGATGGGCGTCCACGTGATGACTGTGATCAGTGATTGGAGACATTTATGCCACGTGATTGAGAATCATTCATATTCCCGCAGATGGAACTACCCTTTATCTCCCTCTCTATTTTGTGTTGCAGTATTCCTTACATACATTTTCATTGTCTTTTCGAATAATATTCTCAATGTTTAGTTTCTGATTATCATTACTGCTACATTATTTTAGTCCATTGCGATTCAAATTTTTATATTCATCTCTCCCTGCTAGTGTTATATTACCTGAACCAATGCACGTCCGTGCCAGGCTCTATGTTGACATCGTAGTATAGATTCGCGAGAGTTACCTTTAACCCTATACTTGTAGTCCTGTTGTTTACCAATGGTACAGTCTTGGACTTAATTCTTACTCGCTTCAAGAAAGAATGTGATCACTAATCTGATCTTCACAATGCTACTTCATCCAGATTCTCATCCATTTTCCGAAGCCATATCTCACATTTAATAGGTGTAGAAATCGTACCAAACATCCCTGATTTTTCACTGTCCAGGTTCTATTTATCATTTAGACACGGCTTAAAATCCACAAGGAAACTAGTTTTAGAAATAGATTATCTTTATCCATACTAAGAACTAAAGCTGACACCGAACACTTTGTTTTCTTTGAACATGTTTCCATGTAGTTTGCACAAATTCCAGGGTCCTGTTGGTTAAAACAGCATCATTTTCCAACCCCGCTATTGTTTCACAGTGTCAAAACTCACTTCATTTAGTCTGCAAAATATTATAGAGCCAGCCTATATGACGTGTAATTGTTCATTCCGATATTTCTATCAAGGCAATCACATGATAGGTTCTATATATAAGCCTGTATCAGATTACTGTGCTTTAGTAAGTATATGGTTTACTATCGTTTTCTGGATAATAAATGATCGACTGTCAGTGTTGAAACGTGGGTTAATCAGTCATTGATTTGGAAGAATTGTAATGTCTTTCCTACTTCAATAATCGTTTCTACAACAAACGAAGTTACTGTGGAATGTGAACAAACCAAAATTAGTCTTGTGTGTCGGCGGTCAGCTCACTTTTTTATCCCCAAGTTCCTGTCCTGTGGACATCACAAGCTTTCTAAATACTATCACATTAATGTCTATTTGGTCGGTCATAACTAATATTTAAGGACTGAGAAATTTATGCAATCATAATATCGGTCATAACCATCTTTTTTGTAACTTTAGTACTACATATTAAGAAATCTGTAAGGTTGGGTCACACCTTAATTGATGTGATGTTATTCACTTTCGAAATAATTTTCTCTGTTAATTTTTGAATCTTGTTGTCAGTCTCGGCATATGGCTGCAATTCTCGCACGCCGGCTACTAGTCAATGATTATGGTTCAGCATTCGAGCCTCTTCCAGTCGAAACAAAAAATTCAGCTAAACAACAGCTAGTTTTAATTTTAGTTCATGAAAGAGAACAATTAATGCGCAGAAAAGTAGCTGATCTGATCTCCGAACTGGTTCGGATGCAATTCGGTAGGTTTGTTTATTTCCCTCGTTTTAATTGACTACTATTTGGTGTTCTTGCTCAGAATGAGTATATAATTCGTGTTTATTGTTATAGTGATCAAAAAGCAGACAAGTGTTTATTAGAAACAATGTTATTATCTGTTGTAAGACTTGATGACTGGAGATTTTCACATGTTTATGAAAAGATATCTGTTCAAATATCCTAGGTATTCCAAAATATAATTAGTGCATTTTAATGCTATGGGCTTATATAGGTAGAGTATATTGTTTCGAAATGTGCTGTGATTGTACTGTCTAATTCCTATATTTGAAAATAAACATCTAGTGTTATATTTCAGTATGCTTCAATTTACTAGTATAGAAGCAGAAATCACTTACAACTAGAATGTATTATTATAATTAGATTAACTCATTCACCAGGTACTTTGATATAAGTCACACCCTAGTTTTAAACACTTATGAGAAAATCCGGTTATCCACATCGAAGTAGGCGAATCGGGTTTCATACTCTAAAAGTCGAACACTTTAATCATTAAGCCAACATTCCATGCAATTAGAATGATGATCAAGTAGCTCATCATCTTGAGAAGAACAAAATTCTATCTGTTGGTAGTAGTGAGCGCAATTATTTTCTCTGCAGTATTAACACTATGATTTTGAACATTTATATAGATGATGATGGTAATTCCGAATGGCCTGAATTCACTTCCATTTTGCTTGAATGGTCAAATTCACCTGATTCCGGGTTACGCGAAATCGCCTGCCACATTTTTGGATCAGTCCCATCACTATTTGGAAACCAACAGGCACAAAGCATAGGGATTATTGGTCAGTTTCTGGTCAGGGCTATTTCTGACCCTTCAAGCTCAGAGCTTAGAGCTGCGGGGTTACGTGCCTTAGCTGCTTTTACTGTTCAAAATGCAACTGAAGACTCTGTACTTCAATCTCTCCGAGAATTGGTTCCCGTTGCACTACAGGTAAAGTTGTTTAGAACTTACCCATACTTCATCGTAATTAATATCAGTAGTTTGTCTAACATAAAGATGCCGACTCTGAAAGTTCAGTTACTTTGTCTTTCCAGTTTTAGTTATTATTGCTTAACTCATACATATTTTCCATGTAGTAACAATCTAATTTGATGATTTGCTATATTATGGGTGTTCTTTTGTATGTTGAGGCAGGAAATATTGTATTTTTCGTTCCTATTTGCTAAATCGTATCAGAAATAATTGATATTGATGGTTTTAAGAAGTAGAGGTGATGGTTGAGTGTATATAGGAATATCAGCTGTTTGTTTGTTGACTTTTCGTTATCACTAGATTTTAATTAAATTATTATTATAAGTCAAGTGTAAGTGAGACAATCTCGGAAAAAGATGGAACCCTTATCTGCTCTCAACCCAAACGTTCAGAACGACGGGCGGAACACTTTAAGGAGCAGTTTAGCTGGCTTTCAGCTACTGCACAACTACCCACTTCCCAGAAAACCTGAATGGAACATTGAAGTAGGCCCCCCGACCCTACTTGAAGTTCAAAAGGCTATAAGTAATCTGAAACAAGGTAGAGCAGCTGGTCCAGATGGATTGGCTCCAGAGGTCTTTAAATATGGTGGTCCAATTTTAGCGATTAGGTTGACTAATATTCTGGCTAAAATCTGGGAGACGGATGTAATCCCATCCGACTAGTCACAATCACTGATTGTCCCAATATATAAAAAGGGGTCAAAATCATCCTGTGATAACCATAGAGGGATTAGTCTGACTAACATAGCATCTAAAATACTAGCCTCAATAATTATCGGGCGCCTAACTAAGACTCGTGAACTGCAAACACGAGAAAATCAGTCTGGCTTCAAACCTGGTCGTGGCTGTATCGACCACATATTCACCATTCGTCAAGTTTTAGAGCACAGACACGCTTATCGGCGTCCTGGCAATGATAGTTTTTTTTTTACTTGAAAGCAGCATTTGACTCCGTAGACCGAGAGGTTCTGTGGCAGTGTCTGTCATTGACAGGTGTACCTGAGAAGTACATAAACCTTGTGAATGCTCTTTACTCGAACACTACCAGTCGAATCAGAGCTTATGGCGAACTGTCATCTGATTTTACAACCTCAAGTGGTGTCCGTCAAGGCTGTCCACTATCTTCATTTTTGTTTAACTTCATTATAGACCTGTTGCTGGAAATAACTCTCTTCGACTGTATTTTCAGGAATTGATCTCCTACCAGGAGGACCACTAAGCGACTTAGAATACACAGATGACATAGTCCTGTTTGGTGAAGACACTGACAAAATGCAGAGTCTTCTGTTGGAACTCAGTAATAATGCCAGGATGTTTGGGATGCGTTTCTCCCCATCCAAGTGTAAATTGTTACTCCAGAACTGGTCTGCGTCAACACCTGAACTAAGGATAGGGAGTGAAGTAGTCGAACGCGTCGACAACTTTACTTATCTTGAAAGTCTGATCAGTCCTAATTGGTTGGTGTCTGACGAAATCTCTGTACGGTTTCAAAAAGCTCGTTTGGCTTTTGCCAACTTACGTCACCTATGGCGAAGACGAGATATCCGTCTATCAATTAAGGGACGAGTATACTGCACAGCAGTTCGCTCTGTTCTACTTTACGGCTGTGAAACATGGCCATTAAGAGTAGAAGATACTCGTAGGTTACTAGTATTTGATCACAGATGCCTTAGAAATATTGCTCGCATCTGCTGGGATCACCGAGTAAGTAATAGTGAGGTTAGACGCAGGGCATTAGGGAATGACGGTAAATCAGTGGATGAGGTCATGAATCTTCATCGACTGAGATGGTTGGGCCACGTGTTACGTATGCCTGAACACCGATTACCACGACGCGCAATGCTGACTAGTATTGGGGATGGTTGGAAGGGATTTAGGGGCGGCCAAACCAATACATGGCATCAGTGTTTGAAGTCATTAACTTCTATTCTGAGCCATGTTGGTAGATGTAGACTACCTGGTTGGGATCCGCGTGACTATCGTAACCAATGGTTGGAGACTCTAAGCGACATGGCTGAGAATCGATCACAATGGCGTAGGTGTATACACTATTTATCTTCCCTTTAACCTTGAAATTAAAATTGCTTCATAACCTTTTTCCTTCCTGTACTATATCCTTCTATACAACCTTTCTTTATATACTACCACCACTAAATTAATTACTTATATGAATCCGGTGTTCATCTTGTTGTGCTAATGAGTTAGGTATGGTAACGTGGACCGATGCATATATGTGTATGGTCCTACGTTGTAGCTGACTGATTATTATAAGATGTTTTGGCTGCACATTTGTCAGCAAATTCTCATTTAATTTATCCAACCGCCCAACCCATTAGCTGTCGAACTTTATAATTGATTAATAACTCAGCTTAAAGCATCGATAAAATTTTAAGTCCCATAATCTGTCCAACAAAATTCAAAGTTTTTAACTGATCAGTAATAATGCTAAGACCGAGGTTCACCATCATTATGTTTATTCGGTCTAGTACTCTGTTTTTTAAAAGTATGTCTTCAAGTTCAGCCCGTTCTACTTTACAGCTGTGAAACATGGTGATGAGGAATACAGGATATTCGTAGGTTACTGACATTCGATCATAGGTCTTTACGAAGCATTGCTCGTGTATTTTGGGACCATGGAGTAACCAACATCTGGGTTAGGAATAAAGTATTAGGTAAGGATGGCAAATCAATTCAAGAAGTAGTAAATCTTCATCAATTGAAGTGGTCGGAATATGTGTTACTTAGGTTCAACCACCGATTTCCTTGACGAAAGATGTGTGATGTAGGGGCAGGATGGAAGAAAGCTAGGGGTGGCCAAACCAAAACATTAGATCAGTCCATGAAGTCACTGACATGTTAATAGGTACAGACTGTCAGGTTGGGGTCCGTGTGACTATCATAACTACTGGTTAGAGACTGGATGATATGGCTCAAAATCATTTAAAATGGAGCAGGTGCATTCATTCTGTCTTCCCCCAAATTCTGTGTTGAATTCCTCATAAAATTTTTATCTCACCAGTTTATATTTTCTTTTCGAGTCGTGTCTTGGATGCCTAATATCTCCTATTACCACTGATACTATTACTACCTCTACGATTCTGGGGTTCGGTTTGACAATTACATCTCTCTATGCTAATGGGGTGTGGCAACTTAAATCGATTTACAGGTTCTACGTTGTAACTGACTGAAACGTCATGTACCTCATTTTAAATATTGCTTTTTTTATTTGTCTAGGATTAGTACTGTCGTTTGTGTGTACTTGCAAATAGCCTTACCGTATAGTTCATCATTTTGGTTCAGCTGTCGGCTACTTATTAAATAGATTATATTTTGAATTTGTTAGTTTTCATAATTTTTATCTGATAAAAAGAGATTACCGTAAGTTTTTGTTTGTCATATATTTAATGTATCGGTCTAATTTGTATACCTTGTTTCAGGCTATTGCTACTGCTATCCAAACAGATTCAGAAGATGATACACCTCTAAAAGCTTTAGTTGACATTGCAGATGCTGCGCATAAATACTTAAGACCTTATTTAGCGCCTACATTGGAGTTATGCTATAAGGTATGCTTTGAGTTCATTATTTTTTCTTGCTTTCTAGTAATTTCCATATATATATATATATATATATATATATATATATATATATATATATATACATAATTCGCTTTTTCGCACTTAGTGCCTTAAATACAGTTTCAGAGTTTATACAGCCAGTTTTATTTTTACATACGAGGCTTTTGCAACCAACATGTATTCAATGAAGTTTTAAGTAAAAATTCTTATTTTAGTAAACAGACAGAGTCATTAAAACCCATTCACTTTCCATGGGTCTGTTTACGAAGTTTTACAATTAATCGATAGATATGCTAATTTTTCACAAAAATAAAATAAAATCACCAAGTAGGTAAGACAAAGTTTGAACCTGTCAAACAATAATTAAAGTTCAGAATGTAATAAACCACTATTTTAAATAGACAGAATGAAGGTGATAAATTCATAACACTAGATGGATTACTGGCAGAATATGCTATTCATCGGGAAACTGTTTAATATTGTCATTCATGTCCACTTTACAATTATACAATGCTTAAGAAGCGTAACGTTGTACGGCAAAACATCAAATATTTTTAATTGGTCTAAAAATATTAGTCTTATCAGAAGGGGTTTTGTGGAGATTTAGTATTTTTTTCATAGTAGAAAGCATGAGTCAATTGAAGCCAGACCACCATGGAAAACCTGGAAACACTGGACGGCCGTTTCGTCCTATTATGGGACTCCTCAGCAGTGCGCATCCACGAACCCACTTATGCATTAAGTGCTTGCTACGGCTACGGATACATCTTCATTACTTTATGTATTATGTACACTGTTACATATGTTTATTAGTTTTACAAATAATTACCTTAATCGATCTAGTCACTTTTCGAAACTTAATTGCCATTCACTGTAAATTGAAATATATAAATGCTTACGTGTTTTAACACTGAAATAATCAGAAATTTGTTTTTAAAAAAAATCTTTTTGTAATCGTATTCAATCTTAAAGTTTCTCAAAGTGCTTAACCAAATTGTAGTGATTCAAATTTAACCATTGAAAATTACTCGTCCATAGAACAAGTTCACAAATTTATTGTTTGTAGATTTTTTTGTGTGACAAGTAGTAGCATTTTAACTTACTCATTGTCCTTGTTCAAACTTTAAAAACAAACGATTATTTTTTAAAAACTTTGAATCAACCAAGTTACCTTAAAGTTATATTGATAAATGGAAATTTCAATGAACACTTGTATTGTATTGTCTCAGACTTATTCTTTGTAGTCTTAAAGTCACCCCTTGTCCAATGATCATTAACAAGTAATTGGACTCTATCCAACCTATTTATTACACATGCATCGTTATTCTGACAGCAATCAATTGAGATATTTTGGCTTTACAATTATGTATTTGATGGTTCTCATTTTATATACACATCAATACTTCAAAAAATATTCTCACTTCACACTTTATTTTGTACTACGAATAGAAGCAAATTAACACTTAATAGCAATTATTAATAACTCAAACTTACACATATACACTCAATCATCCATTCATTCATTTATCTTTACATTGTGGACTTTTCACATGATTCTCATATAATTGATTCATGTTATCGTACTTACTAAAGTCAACATCAGAATATGGTTGTATAAGCACGGTAAAGTTTTGATTTGATTGTTAAATACTATATATCATTTGATAATTTTGATTTCGATAGATACCATAAAGAAATCCAAACAGTTTGCTGGACGAAACTTTAGAATTATTTAGATTTTAATCTCGGAGATTATTTCAAATATGGTTTTCACAAATAACTATACTAAAATCTCAACTGCTAATTAATTATCATTTTTTCCATTCATAACATATTGCTAAGGTCTTTGTCTTATAATCAGAATTTCTATGTATAAGGCAGATGGTAATATTAGTTTTTTTTAGAGCACAATCTTTTTACTCACTCTCTAATTTTCTAAATAGTTCTATCTTTAATCGTTTTTCTAACATAATTCTTACTTTCCTTATATAGATATTGTGTAACGAAGAGCTTGAGGAAACGCAAAGACATCTAGCCTTGGAAGTGATCGTTACACTAGCAGAAAATATACCAGCGGGTGTAAGAAAGTCAGCCACTTTAATCGAGTCTCTTGTGGGGACATTGCTCAATATGATGTCAGAAGTTGATGAAGAACCTGACTGGGCTGATGCTGACACTGCAGAAGAGGAGGATGACAGTAGTAATGCTCTCACAGCGGAACTTGCACTTGACAGGTTATCATGTGCTGTAGGTGGTCAACATATCCTGAATGAAATTCGCCGATCTGTCCCAAATATGCTACAACACGGTAATTCATGAATTATTATGTTTTTTCCTTTATTTTACGGGTTAAGTAACTAACAGTTGTTACACAAAATTTACATTTCCTTAGTCAACGTAAAAATATATCTACACCATTTCAAAGAAAAAATATTAACTTGATTTTCAGTAGTCCTATATTCCATGGAATTGTGACCTTTAATTCGTTCATCTTACTAGATATTTTGATAGTAGTTCATCAAATAAGTTCTGTCTGCAACTATTATTGTTTTGTTTACAGCCGACTGGAAGCGACGGTATGCTGGATTAATGGCAATTTCCGCGTGCAGTGAAGGGAGCAGCAAACAGATGGAGACTATGCTTGGTTCTATATTAGATGCTGTCCTCCCTCGTCTTAGTGATCCACATCCACGTGTTCGATATGCAGCTTGCAATTCTGTTGGACAAATGGCAACGGATTTTGGTCCGAAACTACAGAAAACTCATCACAGTACTGTGCTCCCAGCATTAGTTCAAACACTTAACGATACGGTGCCTAGAGTGCAAGCCAATGCGGGGGCTGCTCTAGTCAATTTCTGTGAGAAAGTACCACAGGTTTGTGAACAGAATATTTTTATTGATGCAGTTTCTTCGGAGTCATTAAAATGCAAAAATTTTAACTCACTAGTTGGATTTATATCTATTGCTTTTAAAAACCACCACATATTTTATAATAACGGATTCAGCAATTACCTTTGAGTCTGCATCTGTCTGCATAATTAGACTTCGGCTTGATTCTGTTACTGTCATCTACGGTCCAATTTAGCTACTAATACAAGCTTCTAACGCTTGACCAACCCAAACAAACAACAAAGGAAGATAAATGTTTGTAGATAATTGCGTTCCCAAATATCGAGTGAATACACCTATAAATCACATATTCTTACGATTAGATACGCCAATACTGTCATGAACATTTGGACGGTGATCTGAGATTTTCGAACAATGTGGTTTTTACAAATCGCCTGGACATCCACCTGACTTATCATATAACCTAGAGGTGATTGCGTAAATATGTTTCTTCACTCGATATGCCACTCAATCACGTGATTTTAAGTCATTAGGTCATAATTTTAGGGTCTCATTAAGATGACATTCACCTGTGTATAATTAATGTGTTAGTCAGTCTAATAATCGAGTTTATCTAATCATTAAGTTCTCTCTATTAAATGAAACTGAATGTAAATGAAGTATTATTATGCAAAATAATCTCGAACTAAACCATAAGGGAAATAAAATGTTTAGTTCCACACAGTTAAAAGAACTGACTACATTTACTTACGTTAGCGCATCGTGCAAACAAATAAATACTTGTCATGTTTCAATTGGTATATATGTATGCTCATATATTCCATTTTGCAGCACATTCTGGTAAATTACTTGGATGACCTGGTGTCCAAACTCGAACAAATCATGAATTCTAAGTTTCAAGAGATGGTGGAGCATGGTCGCAAGTTAGTGCTCATGCAAATAGTAACAACTGTGGCATCTGTTGCTGATGCAGCTGAAAAGAAATTCTTACCGTATTATGATCGGTGCGTCTACTTTGTATATACTGATTTCCCGTTTTAAACTGTCAAACTATGGTATGACGTTTTAACTTTTTTCATGTGTCCTTAGTTGTGAAGTATATTTGAAGTATTTGAAGTGGTTTATGAAGATGCAACAACTTACTTTATAGACTACACAATTAATTGTTCCTAAGCCTGTACAATCTTTTACTAAGTAGAAAAAAATCAGTCAATCTGTACACATCTTTGCTCATTTAGTTTGTTTTTTCTTTACGTTTTGTAACTAACACTACATGACTTAAATGCAATATTTCACTACACATCATTCGTCAACATAGTTATTCAATATAAAGGTTTTGTCGATGGTATATTCATGAAAATGTTCGTATGTTGTTCATTCCCTTTTCAAACAATATCGGAGCAAATTGTTACCGAATTCAAGTTAAGCTGATCAGGTTCGCCGGCTATATTAGATAAGATCTTGTCTTTATTTTCAATCACCACATTGCATTTCCATGTCGATCAAAATGCAAAAATACTTGAGTTAGTCTCTGTAGTTGAAAACAAATAAAGCGTCATTAGTTGCTCCACCAATTAATTTTATCAAACCGATAATCAAATTAAATCAATTTAAAAACAACAATTTCCATTTAAAGAGATTGGGAAAAAATTGGAAAATCGTTGAGTAAGAAAATCAATGTCAACATGGATAAAGTAACTTAAGGTGTATGTCTATGACAAGATTGAGTAAGAATAGGTATTAAAATATTCAGGACTGAAATGAATTATCAATATTATTGAGCACTGTCTGGGACAATGTAAGTTTCCTGTATATCCATGTGGAGACGGCTCCCGGTGAATTTGCGACTTGGAGGGTTTTATCATTCGAGTACTCAGGCTGTACGCGGTATAACAAAAGTCCGAGTTCTAAATACAGCACTTTCAATGTGACAGAAATGATAAGCTACATACTTTGAGCTTTATAGATCCTAACATTATTATTATCAATATTATTAGAGAGCTATATTAATTTAATCTCACTATTTGTGTATTTCCCGATTTTTATTACACTTTCGTCACTAGAAACTGCGACTTAGACGTACTCTATCTCTTGAATCAAGAATGTGTGTCATTTTATCTACCTCATATCGTAGTCACTCGTTAACTAATATAGAAATGGTTAGTGCTAATTAATTGTACATATATCGAATGTTTTACAGGCCTACTTAACTCGTTGCTTCTTAGCTATTACTAATTAAGTAGATTGCTTAGAAAATAACAAACCATGTTTTATTAATATGAGTATTTATTATCTTATATATAAACTATTTTAATCTTAATTTTGTTTATTTTGTCTACAGTTTTATGCCAGTTCTAAAGTATATAATGGAAAATGCTACACACAAAGATTTACGTTTATTGCGTGGTAAAACTATTGAGTGTATAAGTCTTATTGGATTAGCTGTTGGAAAAGAAAAGTTCATTCAGGATGTCGGGCCAGTAATGAATCTATTACTTCAAACGCAAACTCAACCGGATTCTGAATCATCAGACGAAGATGATCCTCAGGTAAGTCATCATTATATAGTATTTAGGAAATGTGTTTACACCTACTGTTATTCTTTTGATTCATGATTATAATTTCTAATTCCTAGGCTTCTTATATGATTAGCGCTTGGGCAAGAATCTGCAAGCTATTGGGTCGTGATTTCGAAAGTTATCTTCCTGTTGTTATGCCACAAGTATTACGTTCTGCCTGTGTAAAACCTGAGATATGTATCCTCGACAATGATGAAGCAGACGATGTAGAATCGGATGTTGATTGGCAAGTTGTCAAATTGGGAGAGGATCGTAATTATGCAATTCGTACAAGGTTAGTTGGAAATATGAAAGAGATTATTTTGTTGTTGGTTTAAGTTACTTCAAACTCTAATTGTTGATAAAATTGTTTATTTTTCTTTAGTGGACTAGAAGACAAAGCAACAGCTTGTCAGATGCTCGTTTGTTATGCACGTGAAATGAAGGAGAGTTTTGCACCTTATTGTCAACAAGTTTTGGATATTATGGTCCCGTTGCTTGATTTCTATTTTAATGATGAAGTAAGTTATATTGAGTTATTATTGCTTCAATTTAATTAATCAACTGATAATTTTTTTCTTAAAAACATGTTTTTTGAATTATTTGACATCTTTAAGTCTTATAACGACATGAATATATCCCCTTCCTTAAGTAAATAATGATTACTAAATTCGGTGGTTAAGTGATATAGGTAGAAAAAATTACGCCTAAAAGTTAGGTCTCAATTGAGTAAAGCTCGATTGACCCACAAACTGTGATTCTGTTATATCTTGTAGCCGAGTGGATGCCCAGTTAATGTATGACGTGATAAGACCGCCAACCAGAGAGCAGCGAATTATCGATTGGAACAGTGACACATGAAAACTGTACGATCAATCTAGAGTGCTAACCGGTCCTGCTTCTGCCTAGCCCAGCCAGTTAAGTCCAAACCACCAATAACAGCCTTTGTTGTATGAATCGTTATATTTCAAGCATACCAAGTTTATATATCAATCAAACAGACCACATCGTACTATAAAATAGAAAATAACATTTGTACAAGATTTAACCAAATGTGGCTGTGAATGTGGGAGGCAGCAATTATTGGACTAGGGATAACTCAAGAATGGTGGTCTATAGGTCAAAATAAAGCTTGTAATAAGAGGAACACGAATATGAATAGTTTGGTTATTTAGCAATTATACGATAAAAATATATACATAATACTGGTTCATAAATTGATCCCAAAGTTACCATTCACTATTGTTATCTAGATATAACAGATTCCCTGCAATGGCTTATGACATTTTATCTTATTATTTCCCGTGCTAATTTTTTATACATAGAAGTGTCACTTTATTAAACTCAAATATTAATAATTGTGGCTAGTGGTCTTGTCTTTGGTTTTTCATCATCCGGCGGCTAACATCAATAATTCGATCTCATGAGCGGTCACTACTCTCGAATACACTTTGTATCACTGCATATGACCGATTAACCATCATTTATACTCATTAAATTTAACAATTGTAAATTCGTTTATCGACTTGGAAAATCGTAGTTCTCAACATTAATTTTCTGGTATTATAATTTTAACAAACTCTATTGATAGCAAATATGAAGCTTCCAAGTCATTAATACTTCATTGTTTTTTAAGGATTTCAGTGATTGTGTTTATTCTAAAACACTATATTCACATATAAAAGATTAAATCTGTGCAGAGATAAAAGTCAGAAGGAGCAAGGCCATAGCTATCCATTGACTAAGAGGACCTCTGCGACACGAGAACTTGATCACTGAAAATACTAACATTCACTAGGTGTCAGGGGTTGCCTCATATAACTATTCTTACTGTATGATATTTATCAATAGAAGTTTTTTCTTGTTGTATTTGCAAAAACTACATTAATCATCCATTTCTTGACGTTTTTCTTCAAACAAATAGGTTCGTAGTGCTGCTGCTGAATGCCTACCTTTTCTTCTTAGTAGTATGAAGGTTAAGCAACCAGAATTGGTAAAAACTGCCTGGGAACGTGTACACAAAAGTCTTATACGAGCAGTAACCAATGAACCTGAGCGTGATGTTGTAGCAGATCATCTACAATCACTTGCAAATTCTATCGAAGCAGTTGGAAAGACTTATGTGACTAGTGATCAGTTAGCTGAAATTCGAAATCTATTAGATCATTTGTTTCATGAACATTTTGAAAAAAGTGACGAACGTCTTGCACAACGACAAGTAAGTTGCGCTCAGTTTACACTATTCTTATAATGTTCATAAAGAAAATCGTTATTACACATTATTATTTTATTTAAACACATAAATATTGGTACAAGGAAGCACCAGATAAATATGCGCCGCACAAATCTCATTTGATTTGTGTGAGACCTGTGATACTGCCCAGGTGCCCAAACTGAAGTAGGTGGTTTTCTTAGGGGGCCACACCTGGAGCCTTTGACCTGAAGGTCTAGTCCACAAGGCAGTGGAGCATCTTAAGGAGATGCACTCCCATGGTAGCCGGTGACCAACAATTGGTTTATACGCCATTTGTTCCCTCAGGATACTGCAGCCCATGTGCACCATTGGTTTGGAATCAGGGTTTTGCAACTCCCCTAAGTGAACTTTCCGTGTCCACCAACCCGGTTAAAGCGCCAGACATTCGCCTTTCGTCCTCTCAATTTCGTGAACAACACCCGTAGCAGGAGAAGGCAGTGAGTAGGACTTCCTTGGCAGAGGCTATATATTCGCGCGGCCATATGAGAGCATATGGAGAGGGAGAGCGGACTCTCCCCACTCTCAGACGTACCAGGGTATTTGGGGGCATTATTACACAGATGTAGTAAAACACAAAATACGCTCTTAGTAATTTAGATTTGATGACTCCTGATGATAAGTAAACCTAACAAACATATTACACTTTTCATTGTTTTATATGGGACACTAAATCTATCAATTAATTATCGTGTAATTATTGCAAAAATTGATTGTATATTCTCGACATTGTGGAAAATTTTTAAATAGTATATATATGTTTATTATGTTTTGTAATGTGTCGTCAGTTAACTAACTAGGCAAATCGAACATAAACAAAAAATATTAAATATCTTAATTTTACTCATAGGTGGTACAATAAACCTAACGTCTATCTATTTCACTCACTTCATTGATGATAAAGTATGTATATTACGATGTCTTTCACTTATGTTTAAGGAAGAATTTCACTTCACTGTTATAAGCATGACATTATTATATCGATTTGCACAACATATTTATTTGATAACAAGTTATAACATTTTTCTACTTTGTCCAGAATGAAGATTATGATGAATTCGAAGAAGAACGCCTGTTAAGCGAAAAAGACGAAGATGAATACGTTTTATCAAAAATGTGTGATATTGTTCATTCCATTTTTGCTGCTTTCGGTGTTGAAGCACTTCCATTCTTTCAACAACTTATGGTATTCTGTGTCAAACTCCTGGTATGTGTTTATTTACCATTTATTTACTTACTTAAGCAAACATTGATACAAAAAGAAACCAAAATATATTTACACAATTTGCCCTCAGGATCCTGGAGCCTGTGTGCACTATTGGTTTCGAATCAGGGTTTTCCAGTTCCACTAGGTGGATTCTCTGTACCCACCCACCAACCTAGCTTAAACTCCGGGAAATATTTATGTCATTTTCTTTTAAATAAGTTACTTTTTAGCTCTAATCAATCTGTTTTGCTTTGTCCTGCATAGACTGCAAGTTCTTTGTTTATATGGATCTTCATAGCATTGTTCACACACCGTAAAATGATCGAGTGAGCAATATTGATGTTAGTCATTAGGTACTAAATATCGGTGAGATTGTAAATCTCCAACTTGAATAATTACGACGTGCTACTTATGTTCAACTACCGCCCACCTCGATGACCGATGTTTTCTGACGTGAGAGTAATTTTGAAGAAAGTCAGGCATATGCCCAAACCAACACATGACACCAATTCATGATGTAACTGACTGTTGGTCCGAGACATGTTGATAGATGTACACTGTCTGATGGGTGTCCACGTGATGACTGTGATCAGTGATTGGAGACATTTGTGCTACGTGATTGAAAATCGTTCGTATTGTCGCAGATGAAACTACTCTTTATCTTCCTCTCTATTTTGTGTCGCAATATTCCTTCATACATATCTTTTGTCTTTTCGAATAATATTCTCAAGGTTAAGTTTCTGATTATTATTATTATTGCTACTTTATTTCAACTCTACTATTTACCTCATGTCGTTTCAATATGGTATAACAACTTTTGTCTACACACATGTGTCTGGCTCTACCTTGGCTGAATATACTGTGGAAAGCCTGACAGTTAATTATAACAGTCGAATTTCAGTCAGTTAGTCAGCTACAACGTAGGACCAGGCACATACATGCATCGGTTCAAGTTGCCATACCCCGTTAGCACAACAAGATGAACACCTGATTCATAGAAGTAGCTAATTTAGTGGTGGTAGTACATAAAAGATAGGTTGTATATAAGGATATAGTATAGGAAGGAAGAAAGTTATGAAGCAATTTGGATTGGTTTTGTTAGGAAAAATAGATTACACTATTTACATGTTGTTCAGTTATTTACTTTAGTACGTTCTTGATTGCTATTTTTACACTAAATGTAAATACAAATCCAATTATATATTGCACTACAGTACACCATTCCAAATCGCTCCCCCCAAAGATCTTTATAGTAAGAATTAAGGTCTTCTTTGGTTAATTAAGGGCAATGTCTGTTTAATATAACTATTCCTGACATGATATCCTATCATAAATCTTAAAAGCATTTGATCCGAAGAAGTTTTAAATTAATATGTTTGTTATGCGACATCTGTATGTAGACTAGTTAGAAGTATCCCACCTATTCATACATACTCTCATGTTTGTTTTAACCCGTTTTTTTCATAGGAACAAAATCGTCCTTGGTCAGATTTGCAGTGGGGTATCTGTTTATGGGATGAGATAATTGAATTCACTGGAACACAGAGTTGGCAATTTCATCAATTCTTCTTGCCTACATTTGTCCAAGCTGTACATCACCAGCAGCCGGATGTTCGCCAAGCTGTTGTTTATGGGATCGGCGTAGCTGCTATGAAAGGCGGTCCTGAGTATAATCAAATATTGTCTGATTTTGTTGGACCACTTATACAGTTGATTGAAGCCCCAGATTCAAAGTCTGAAGAAAACAATTTATGCACCGAAAATGCAATTAGCGCTATCACAAAGGTGCGTTTCAATAATTTCCCAATGCATGTTTTTGCACAATTTGTGTGATGCTTTGTGTATTTTCTCATTCCAGTGCTATGTGAATTCTTAGTGGTAATTTTATAATTTATTTGTCTGGTGGTTACGGTAGCTCTAATTGAACTAAATTTGTTTGTTCATTTTGTTTACTGATATTCCTTAATTTATATAGCAATCGATAATTTACAATTTCAACAATAATGCTTTTATTGTTTTTGAACAGATTATGAAATATCGACCTGAATGTTTACCGCCAGCACTAGGAGGTATTGACGCTTTGATCGTCCGATGGTTAGGTTGGCTTCCTATATGTGATGATACTGTAGAGACTGAACATGTATATGGCTATCTATGTGATCTTATTGAAGCCAATAACCCTGTGGTAATTGGACCAGATAACTCCAACCTACCCCGCATTGTTCGTGCTATCGCTGAATCCATGTCTACTGGCGGTTTGTCTGATACAAACACCGAAGAAAATCGATCGAAATTAGAAACGGTTAATCAAGCTGGTGGTTTCAATCAGCAAAACGGTTTTGAAAAACCTTCCGCTTATCAACGGTGTGTATCCATACTGCGCCACATACAAGTAAGCCACTTTAGTTTAATTCACATTTTCGAAACATGAGTTCGGGCTAATAACTAAGATAATAAAAGCTTCAAGATCAAACCACCCAGCTTAGAAAACGTGATTACATTAATAAACACATCACCTTTCCACCAGGTATATCTCACACATCGCGCATTATGCATGCAGAATTACCGTATGTTAGGCAGCTGTTCTTCAGAATTGTTTGTAAAAATCAAGGATTAAAAGTGGAAAAATCTTTAACCTGTCTCTTACTTTTAAATTGGTTTGTTACTGTATAACTTGTATATATCTTTCATTTTGACCATAAAAACCAAAACACCTTCCTTCTCGTCTCGTTTCGCCGAATTTGCCTATGCTCCTTTACGAGGTGTAACAGTCGTAATTAAGTACGTAAGTGAAAAAATCTTCATAGGGATCCTAATCATGTCAGCATTAATCAGTATTCATAACGTCAAAAATTTTTGTTTACTTATTCATGTTTTGAATTATTTATTAACACTATATTATCATAAAATATCAAACGATTCACTGTGTTACTACGAAGTCAGTCCATTTAGGGTTAAATAGTAAACAGAAACTACGGATTACATAATTGTAATGATCGTTTTTGCATGGTTATTTTTATCTGACCATGTTGTTTGTCAAGTCGAGTGACTAATTAAAATGACTAAATCTTGTTCATACATTATGGGAATTTCAAAAAGTCATGAACAACACAAGATTTATTGGAAATATGCATACACCCAAATTACTATCACTTTACGCCAACACAGTAGGGGAAGAAATTAGAGAGGTGGAAACAAAAAGAGGAAAATGCCGACAATTATTTCAGTGAAAAATTTAGCCTAAAATACAACTCAAATAGATCAATGACAACTGAACAATGAAAGGTGGGGAAAAAGACTAAAGAGTAAGTCAGTGTTACTCTCACTGATTTCGAACTATTTCATCCAATGTCTTTAGAATTTTATGTTTTTCTTAAAGCTCTAATCAAAGAGAATTTTGTAGTTCATTTTCCACTCAGTGTAACAATTTTTTTATAATTCCTGGATGCTGTTTATGCTAATGAAGTAGTGAAATTTCATCAGTTGAGATGACTGGGACACATGTTACTTATGCTCAACCACCTACTGCCCCGACGTGCAATGCTTTATGGTGTAGGAGTAGGTTGGAAGAAAGCTATGGGCGGCCAGACCAAAACGTGGCACAAATCCATAAAGTCGCTGACAATTGGACTGAATCATGTTGGTAGGTGTAGACTACCTGGTTGGGATTCGCGAGATGATAGCGACCGATGGTTAGAGACCTTGAAAGACATGGCTCAAAATCGTTTGCAATGGTGAAGGTGCATCCGCCGTTTGTGTTCTACCAAATTCTTATCCTCTGAATTCCTCAAATTCCTATCCTTTTTCTCTTTCCAAATTTATTTCACTGTATAATACTTCTTCAATAACATCTTCAAACCCTAATCTTTCGGTTTACTGCTTATACTTTTACTACCTCTACCACTATGGGATTTGAATCGACAACATCTCTGTGCTAATGTGGTATAGCAACTCGATCTGATGTACGTACGTACGAAGTTCTACGTTGTGGCTGACTGACTGACTCAACAATTAGAATGATGAATGTTTTAGTTCAAGTTAAAAACTATTAATATACTGTTGAATAAGATTTTATTTATCGTAACCATCTACTGGTAAATATGTTACAGGTGAAGAAGAAGATGAAGCATCGATCTCTTTCAATATTATAAATGAAAGTTGTTTAAAGCCCACTTTTAATGAAATTTTCTTCATGCAAATCTTCTTTATTTTATTTTATTCCTTTTAGTCCAATTCATCTTTGGTAGAAGTATGTGTAAGTCAATTAAATGAAGAACAACGTAAAGCTCTTGGAATTGCTTTAATGGGTCAATAATATGAATAAGATAAATCCATTTCATAAAAATTAATTTTATGCCTATTCTGATTGTTTATAAACATGGATAAATTTAATTTATCATACTCATTTAATATCTTTACTATTTCACCTCTTTATAGAAGTACATTACATTACTTTATGAATGTTTTGTAGTTCTTGTAAATTATTCCAAAATAAAAAGTGTAGAATAAGCACTTCCTATTTGAAAATGTATTTTTTTGTCTTCTTCTTCTATCTGCATGGGTATTTCAGTTTTTTTGTTTACTTTGTTATGGTCTTCTATCAATTAAACGGTTAACGTACCGCCGAAAAGGTTTTTTTTCTTTGTTTTTTTTAAAATGAAACCAATCAGATTCAAATTATGACATTGTTTGATGCTTAATATGTATCGTATATGTTCATATATGTATTGGTATTTGTCTCAGTGTATTCTGAATAACTTTTCTCATGTGCTTTCCTCATATAGATTTTCCCTTTTGATCAGGATGATAATTGTAACATATGTGGTTTAATTTAATTAACCGGTTTCATTTCAGTCAGTACTTCAGTATTCATCATGTATGTTTTGATCTGGTACTGTTGGTCATAAATAAAGCAAAATTAGCTGGATGGTCATTCATTGTTTTTGTTGTTACTTTAGTTTTTCATTCATTATCCATTAATTCACATTTCGTAAATTTAAAAGTTTACTGGAGAAAAATATATTTGTTCATTTTTATGTAACATAGCATTGTTAAGTATAAAAAATGTATATCTTGTCTCCCTGTTACTAACAATCGTGGTATTGATCCCATCATTAAATAATTTAAAAAAAAAAAACAAGTCCTAAATTGGTTAATTGAAAAGATTATACAATTATTTGATTCAGCTAAACTGTCAGAAGATGGTTTATTCAAAGTTAATATTTTCGAAGCACCGATTACTCAGTACGTTATTCTCTATTCCGAAGTACAATTAATTTTCTCTCTCAATAGTAATATCACTCATTTCCTATTGTTCAGTGAGCATCAACAGTAAAATTTTGTTTTATGTTACTTTTTATTTATGATAATCATCAAATATTGCGATTTCAGTCGTTGAGTTTCAGTAAATTGTAACATTTAAGCATTCATTAAATAGTAAAAGCTAGGCAAATAATTCCATATTATATTCAATGTATTCCAGGCGCTACCAATTAAAAAATAGAACCAGTCAATCTTGAAGTAAAAAGCTTATGTAAACACACTATGTAGTTTTTAACATTTTTGGGGCCCAGTGCGTAAAGAATTATGTTTTTACGAGTACATAACTTATATCCGGCTTGTTCAGTCACAGTAAACGTAGTATTCAGCAACGAATCTTATCAGCTCAAGTTGTCAATAGATCAGGACAATGATCCAGTCTACTGATCAACAGTCTAATGATGAGTGGATGTGTTTGACTAAAAAGTTATTTCATTTTCTATGGAATAAACATGCGTAATTAGGTGCTTATGTATGTGAGTCGGTTTAGCCCAATAAATTTCTTTCACTCTTGGTCGTTCCACTCAGTAGCCGGTTGGAGACTTTTGTATCAACATCAGTATTGATCGCTATATGTCAGAACAGCAAAATGGAATTTTATTTCAGTGATCTCAACTACACAGTGCGTTCAAGTCATTATTAGTCTCCACTGGACTATATAAGGAGACAAACCAGTGCCTTAAACATCTGATTGTTACCGTATATATTACTTCATTAACTGATAATTTTATTTTCGCGTGATTTACACATTGATCAATTACTATGTCAACCTAATCCAGGTAAACAAAATTACATGTCACTGAACTTTGTCGCAGTTTACCTAATTTTCACGTCTATCATTTTCAAAATTTATGAGTTAATTTTAAAAGTTTACTCAGCAGTGTTAAAAATTAGGATTAAGTTGTCTGTATTCACTGAAAAAAGTTGCAAATTAAATTTCTGTTGGTTTATCTATTTGAATCACTAGATTATGTACTTCACAAATAATCAGTTTCTCTTAAGTCAAATGACACCAGTGACCAGCAATAGCCGGATATCCTACGGCTTATTGGTCCATTCAAATTCTATCCCCAATAAGAACACAGAAAAACAAGTCATCTTTTATTATTGACTGAAAAATGTTAATATGCATCAGTTACTAAACCATAATGTATCACTATCCTGTTCATGACTATGACATTCTCGGTACAAAGTAATTAATAAGTATATAGTAATTATGAACTATCAGTTATATCGACAGTTAGTTAAACAGCTTACAATTATGGAAGCATTGAAATATCATAAGCCACATGTTATGTTCAGTTATGTTCAGCAGAATAAAATGTTGGTCGATTTGAACAAATATATTTATGATAAATTTGGTGATTGGTGTCAGCATAAATGCAATGTGTGATAATTTTCGCCCTTGGAATCTTTGAGATTACATTGTAGTATCTTATCTCGCTACCACATAGTGGGTATGACGAATAAAATACTGTAGACTAGACAAGGTGATATCTGATCACAATTATTATTTTCTAACATTTCATTGTACAATATAGAAACTAAATGCAATCTACTATAATTTAACAAGTTCCTGTTCTCAATTCTTCAAATATAGTATAATAATTGTCAAAATACAATAGTGTGTAGAATTATTCGTAGTAAGACAATTGCTGACTGTTCTGCTTGATTATCTTGGGTACCACAGCTTGTAAAGTCCTAGGTATAAGTGTTTCCTTTTTAAAAAAATGTGAATATTACCATGCAACTTTTTGTTTGTGTTTAAGGTCACTTGGATCCATGTGTCATAAAGTTGCAAAGTTATCAACTCGGTTTTATGCTTGCTCTTTAAACTATGAATAATAGTTATTTATCTATTTAAACACAAATATTGGTACAAGGAAGCACCAGATACATATGCACCGCACAAATCTCATTTGATTTGTGTGAGACCTGTGATAATGCCCAGGTGCCCAAACTGAAGTAGGTGGTTTTCTTAGGGGGCCACAACCGGAGCCTTTGACCTAAAGATCTCCTACTTCAGTCTGAGCACCTGGGCAGTATCACATCCCTCACACAAATCGAATGAGATTTGTGAGGCGCATATTTATCTGGTGCTTCCTTGTACCAATATTTATGTGTTTAAATAAATAAATAACCTAAAGATCTGATCCACAAAGCAGTGGAGCATCGTGAGGAGATACGATCCGATGGCATCCGGTGACCAACGATTGATTCATACGCCATTTGTTTCATCAGGATACTGGAGCCCATGTGCATCATTGGTTTGGAATGAGGGTTTTACAACTCCCCTAAGTAAACTTCCCGTGACCACTAACCCGGTTAAAGCGCCAGACATTCGCCTTTCGTTCTCTCAATTTAGTAAACGACATAATAGGAAATAAAATCAAAATAGCAAGAGGTATCCGAACTACCATACCCAGAAAATTCAATTCTTAATCGAAACTAAAAATTTCGGTGATGTAATCTTTTCTCACTTCAGTATTTTTCTACTTTAAATTATTTGTGTGTGTGCTGGGCACCAAAACAAAAATAAGTAGTTTTCTTAAACGGCCATTATTCTAGAGGTCTAGTTCATAAGACAGTGAAGAACATCAGGAGCTACTGCCCATGTTAACCAGTGACCAGAAATACGTCCGCACACCATTCGTTCTCTAGAGATCCTGGGGCGTGAATGCACCGAGAGTCTAAAATCAGCGTCTTCCGAATCTCCCAGGTATATACTGAATATTTACCAACATGATCAAGTACTACATATTTGTTTTTCATTCACTCACTTTTGTAAATAAAACCCTTGCAACAAGGAGATGGTGAGAAAGACTTCACAGGCAGTGAGCTGTAACATTATAGCCATTTGTTAATATTTCAAGAGGGGGAACGGACTCTCTTCACTCTCTACCGTACCAGAGCAATTGTTAAGAAAAATTTCTATTATTGTCATCATTCATTTAAATTATTTAAAACTTTCTCACATGAGGTAGAAAATGATGGTGAGAAATTCGAATCCAGTGATCATTCCGTTATGAAAAAACAAGATTGTGATTCGATTAAGTAATTTCAAGGAAACGACAAAGAGGAAGGGCGAAGAACACATAACATCGGGAATTGGAAGCCATTAACACCGTTGGATACCGGCCCAGTTGTTTATCGGATAAGTGCTCTGGCGCGAGACTGGTAGGTCCTGGGTTCGAATCTCGCGAGTGTGGGATCGTGGATGCGCACTGCGAGGAGTTCTATAATAAGACGAAAAGGCCGTCCAGTGCTTCCAGGTTTTCCATGGTCGTCTAGCTTCAATTGACCCATGATCTCAACTCTATAACTATAAATCAGTTGGATCATATATTTCTCACATTTCAATGGATGTATCGAATTAGGTTAGTCTGTAATTTTATTATTTTTATTTCTGTTAGTAAGAAATTATGTCATAATACTGGTGTACAGCATCAATGAAACATGAACGACATCTATCATATTCATTTATATGCTAATTAAAAAAATAGGTTTTTTTTCGTACTGTAGAATATCGATTTATATTTTATGATGTATATTTATAGCATGATTGATGAACATTAAAAAAGTGTACTATCGTTTTTTTGTGTGTGCTAAGTTATCATTATTGTTAAACAATGATTTGACCTGAGATTTACAGGAGAGAGAGAAAGGTTTTTTAGCATTATCAGTTATAGGATTCAGTTAGATTGGGGTAATATATACTATGAATTATATTGCACTGTGTATATAATGTCATATACACTAGTCTTGAGTGCTGTTACATATGCCTCTAAATGCTCTGGTACGTCCGAGAGTGGAGAGAGTTCGCTCTACCACTCCAAATGCTCTCATATGGCCATGTGTATATAGCCTTTGTCAAGGAAGTCCTACTCACTACCTTCTCGTGTCACGGGTGTTGGTTACGAAAGTGAGAGGACGAAAGGCGAATATCTGGCGCTTTAACGAGGTTGGTGAACACGGAGTTGCAAAACCCTGATTCCA